CGGAGGGTGTTTTTGGAAAAAGGGATGTTTTTGGGGGAAAAAAAAGGAGGGCCTTTGGGTTATTCGGTGGGGGGGCCCGCCCCCCGGTTCGTTTGATTGGTTCTTGGTAACACCCTTACCCCCCCCCCTTCGGATTCACCCCTCCCCCCCCCCCCCCAGGATGTCGAAAAACTGGACCGTTTCATACACCCCTCCGGCGATACAACAACTCCACAGCAACAACAGCAACAACAACAAGTCCGCGGCTCGACCAGCGCCGCGGCAAGCACCGCCTTGTCGCATCGGCTGGGCGGGGCGGGGGACGGCGGGAGTAGTGGTGCCGCCGGCGCAAACTTCGACGTGGCGACGGCTATTCGGGTGTTGAAGTCGGCGGGGCACGCGGACCATGCGGCGGAGTTGGCCCGAAGACATGGGGGTAAGAGAACCGTTGGAGACTCGTCTGGTCTTGGATTGGATCGGATTAAGAAAAGGGTGTTGAGTGTGAGTTTATTGACCATGGCATTTTTTCCTTGGCCTCTCGAAAGCGATTGTGCTAAATAGCGAGGATACCTGTGTCTCTCTTCTTTCTCTCTTCAAGGTTGGTATATTGTCTTCACCGTGTGTGCGATCGTGTGTTATCAGCTACCACATCTCCCGAGTATACCTGCGCACGGTGACGCATCTTGGCCCGTATCGACAGATAACGTTCGGTTTCTCAGTAACCAAGATGGCGTGTGATTAGCGTGGTCGGAGCTCGCGCGAGACCTTGAATCCGTGCTTCCTTACCTAACCTTTACCCCACCTTGCTTGCCCTATCCTACTGCGGGCAAAAGAGCACGACTGGTTCCTCCGCATCCAGCTCGAGCGCTCGCAGCCGGACTTCTCTGGGGCCCTGGCGTACATCGCCTCCCTACCTTTCAGCGAGGTGAGTCCACGCTACAAAAAAGCTTTTTCCAACCGGTGGCCGTATGCTGTTCTGCTGCTTTTTTTGTTTCAAGGAGACCAGGATGTCCACCGGTCATCAGTCCGTTTTGGTGCTGTTAGTTTGTGTGGAGATACGGACTTAATTGAATACGTGTTGTATGCCGGCCCTACCTTTTTACCTTGCTTTGGTTTCGTAATTCTGTCGTTTTTCTGTCATATTGTTTTTGGGTAGGGGTTGTCGGTGTTTTGGCGATTGTTAGTCTACTCTGGCGAGGGCCAACAGGGAACAAGTCACAAACACTTTTCACGACTGAGAATGGAGTAGACAACGAGTGGAAAATTAATGCGCTTTGGGCAGGAAGGGGTGTGTGCTTCGCAATATCGTTTGGACGCTGAGCGGGGGGCTATAAGCTGCGGCGTGACGGCAGTTAATGATCTCCACCAATGCATGGTACACAAAGGGGTTACAATAACGGAAGTAGAGTCCGAAATGCACGATGCAGCAAGTACAACTTTGGACAACGAAACTGCGGTGAAATTTGCGTGCTGAATGCAGGCATCCGAGCAGCTACGGCGACGAGGCAAGCCGCCACATCAGTGCAATACACAATATAGAACAACGCGTACAACACATATGGTACGAATGTCAGGACAATAAAACGGCAACACGTATGACGTGACTGAATACACGTATGACGTGACTGAATACACGTATGACGTGACTGAATACACGTATGACGTGACTGATTATGCAGGCATCCAAGCAGCTACGGCGGCGAGGGAAGCCGCTGGTGGCTGCACTGCCCGAGGATACGACCGGTGTTCTGATGGCCCTCTGCACCGGAAGGTACACTCGGCAGCATACACACGGTCTTGACACAGGCCGTGTGACAGCAGTGCTTGGGCTGGTTAGTTCCTAAGATGAGAGTATGAGAGTGTTGGCAACGGCCGCATGTCATGGACCGTGACATCTTCTCCCGATAGCTGAGCTGCGCTGCCGCGTAATCGTGGCGCTTGCTTGGAAACACGGCGTCCTGTCCCCACCCTCCCGGCCTTTTTTCTTCTTAAGTGCTTTATGTCGTAGAACGTGTCACCCTCAATATAAACGCGCGTTTGACCGTGGTTTACGAAACGAAAACACAGGTACTCGAGCATGCCGGACCCAGCGACAGCCGCCGCGGGGGGCGGCGGCGGCGGCGGCGGCAACCCCAACAGCAAGGACAAGGCCTCCCCAACCACGGCTAAGGCGGCGGCGGAAGACTTTGTGCACCTCTACGTGGACGAGCCTCGCTGGCTCCGCATCTTCCTCACGTACGTCCTGAGGGAAGGCGGCCGGGCGGGGCCCACGGTCGCCGACACCCTGCTCGAGCTGCTGCTGAGAGAGTGGGCGGCGGCCGGCAGCGGACAGCGAGGAGGGTCTAGCGGCGGCGGCTTGGCGGTTAAGAAGCAGCGGGAGGACGAGGTGATGGCGTTGTTGGACAACCCTCGCGCCGGGTACGACGCGGACCACGCCCTGGTGCTGGTGCAGATGCTCAACTTTAAGCCCGGGCAGCTGTACCTTTACGAAAAGGTGAGAGAGGGGCTCTATCTGTGGTGGTGGTGGTGGTAATAGGGTGCTCGTCGGTGTTTTATGTGTTCTCGTTGGCCGCGGTGACACTGGGTGGCAGCACTGTCTCGTCACTGTTGTCGTCGTCGTCTCTGTCACTGTTGTCGTCGTCGTCTCTGTCACGGTGTTGTGGTTTCCGTTCGCTGTTTTGCCCACGTTCGGACGCTGACAGCTGTACACACGGGTGGTGGCACTGCTGTGTTGCGTGTCGACGAAGTCTCACAGCGAGACTAGGCATACGAAGCAAGAAGTTGAACCTGGAAATCTTGATCTTGGTTGACTAGTGCTTTGACGAGGCAGGGCGGGGATGTCCCCTGCCCCCTACTAGGGTTAGAGGGCCACGAACGGAAATCCGCTGCAGGACAAGATTAGGATCAACCCAATAACGACCTTTTAAGACCAGCCATCCCCTAACGCCGTCTTGCGTTTCGCCCTACACGTCCCGTTGGGTGCCGTCGTGGTGTCGCTGTCACTCCCTGCCAGCTGTACATGACGGAGCTCGTGTTGGAGCACTACGTGGACACGGGGGATACACGGTGAGTTTTTCCTCCTCACGGCGTGTCTTGCGATTTCGGTACCTGCCACCACGTGTGCATGGCAGTTGCTGTAGCACTTGCCCATGGGACAGCAGTCCTTTTTTTGTGGCGGTTGTTTTTGCGGTGCTTAGACTCCATTTTTTACCGAAACAGAAGCATCGCGCGACAGATGTAATTACGTTCTTAGTGACTTGTCTTTGTTTTTCGGGAAACGACACGTCAGGGTATACCATGGTCGAAAAGCGACTCAGCTGGTTACATACTCAGCATCGTGAAACGAACCCAGATGATTTGTCAACGCCCACTTTTGCCCCGCCGTGTCCTAGAAAGCGCCGCGTATACCCTGCCGTGGCTACTGTTCTCCAGAGGATGTACGCCCTGATTTGGGAAAGGTACCCTGACCTGACGGGAACTGAGACCCTTGTTTTCGACGATTTGCTCGGCAGGAATCCTTTCCCAATCATTTTCCAAGGATGGGATTCTAACAGCGACTGTTCCCGCCCAACAACAACCATGGAAACCGGGCAGAAATTATCCAGGACGGAGTTTCCGCCCCTACAAAACAGCACCACCCGTCAACTCTTCCCGCAATAAACAAACAGTGGCTGGCAAACGCCAGCACAGTTCCGTTTGGAAACGTGCGGGGTGTTGCGTACGTACGTATTTGCATGACTGAGTCCATGTGATGTTTGATGTGATTGCTTGGTGTAGGATGAGAACAGTACCCGGGTAACTTTGTGCGCCGCTCCTTCCACCGAAGCTCCTTTCGCCGCCACTGACTCCCCCTTGATGATTCTTGATGATTCATGATGATTCATGATGATTCATGATGATTCATGATGATTCATGATGACGGCGTGTGTGTGCGTGCGTGTACGTTGTGTTTTTGTTGTTCGCAGTCTGAGTGCGGTCGAAAACATAAAATGCTTGTGTAGGCCATGATCTGGGACCCCGTGAGTGTGTTGTGTTGTTTTTGTGTCTCAGTTTGTGGTGTGTGTATGTCTCGCTTGAAATAGCGTCGATCTCGCTTACCAGCCGACCAATGAATAAGACATCGGGCTTCAGCGGGATGAAAAACAAACGCGAACACTCTCGCTACCGGCAGGGAGGGTGCAGGAGTTGGACAACACATCAGTGTCCTGCTTCTGGAGTAAGGAGAAGGCTCCATGTAGTGTGTGTGTGGGTGCTAATCCTTTCTCGCCTCTCTGCGGCCACGACCTCGCCGCCACCACACCGCCACACATCGGCACTTGCATGCATCTCAACCATGCTCGATCGATCTCGCGTTCTAGGCGTGACCCGTATCTCGCATATAGTCTACCTCGCATAGTCTACACACCGTGTGCATTGCGAGATTTGGTTGCTTTCCAAACGGAATTGTGCTGCTGTTTGTTTATTGCGGGAAGAGTTGATGGTTGGTGTTGTTTTGCGGGGGCGGAACCTCCATCCTGATCGATTTCTGCCCAGTAGCGATGGCTGTTTTGGGCGGGAAGAGTCACTGGTTGGTATCCGATGCTTGGAGGGGACAAACATTGAGATAGGATGCCTGCGGAGGAAATGGTCGATAAAAGGGTCTCATGTCCCGCCAGGTCAGGGTACCTTTCCGAAATCAGGGCATACAGTCTGGAGAGTAGTAGCCACGGCAGGGTATACCCCGCGCTGTTTAGGGCGTTGCGGGGGGAACGTGGGCGTTGACCAATCACGTGGGTTCATTTCACGATGCTGATGTAAGTACCCAGCGGAGTGGCTTTTCGACCAGGGTATATACCCTGTTGTGTCGTTCCCCCATGTTTTGTTTTTTGCCGTGTGAGCAGCAAAGTGGCGGCAGATTCATTGAGGATGGATAGGCAGGTGGGGCACAGCTCCTTGTGCTTGCTTGCTAAATTACACAGTTTTCATCACGGTCGCCCAAAGCACGGGGCGGGGGTACGTTGGCACGGCTGATGTACGTTGGTTGTTTCTCGGCGATGAAGAAGAAGAGTGTCAAGGCTGTAGTTTGGCACGCGCTGTTTGTTTCGTTGTTTCGTCGTCTGTGCACAACAGCACACGGCGTATGTACGTGTTCTTGTGTGAAGTCATCCATCTACATCGTACGTCGTCCAATCACGCCGAGGAAGGAAATAAGACACAGATGACACACATAAATGGGTCGATGAAGAAACCTGAAGTACATAGCTGCTGCTTCGAAATACGTATACTGGTATGAAGTTAGCTTCGCCCCCCCGCAGTTTCGCTCACCCCGGGCTGCCCCACACCTGTCGGCGGCAGGAACATGATTCGCGTGTGCCGGAAAGAGGGGAACAACAACCCGGATCTCTGGGTACAGGTCCTGAGCTACCTCGTCAACAACGTTCCCTCGTCCGGGGACATCCAGGAATCATCCCCGCTCCCGGACAACGCCGGCGATGGAAACCCCGCCGGTGGCAAAAGCGAGGACGGCGGCGGCGGCGGCGGGGACGTGAGCTCGGACGATGGGGAGGGGGCCGGCGGAGAGGAAGGGAGGTGGGACGACGTTCGCGAGCTGTTGGCGTTGATGGAGCGGGATCAAGTGCTGTCTCCGTTGCAGGTGATGATTTGTTTTTTCGTGAGGTTTGGGAGGGACCTTTTTTTTTTTTTCCGGGGGTATCAGGGGAAGGAGAAAGGACCTGTATTCTTGTTCGCTCTTGATCGTGCTGGGGTAATGTCTAGGGGCGGTACGATGTGGTAAACAATTCCGGGGAGAAGGCGCAAGAAGCGATTTGTGTTGCTGATCGCAGGAAGGATCGATCAGAGACAACCCAGCAACACACTTAAGTATCGAGCCGACTTGACGACTTTCGCGGGCTGCGTTTACGTCGTCGTTGCCAGTGCCATTTCGCGGTAGATTTGGTAGTCGTGTTGACCACAGCCTTTGGGCCATGGCCGTTATGCCATCCCAAATCCATCGCTCAGCCATGCATTCCGTCCCATGTCCCCAAAGTGTACGTTGTAGCCATTCCGTCCCCATGTCCCTAGCTGTACACTGTTGCATGTTTCGTCGCGCACAATAGTGTTGTGCACATCCAACAAACAAGACACTAAAGCTGACCTGATTTTCATTGCCATCCTGCACGTGCATGTACGGTATCGCCGTCTCTCGCCGTGGCGTTACACGTTGCCGGTAGGTGGTGAGCATCCTGTCTCAAAACTCGCAGCTCCCTCTGTGGGTGACGCGAGACTTCCTGCCCCGTTACCTGTCGACGTCGGCTGCTGCTGCCGCTGCTGACGCCGCTGCTGCCTCGGAGCTGAGAGAGAGCACGAACAAGATGAGGGCGGAGATTCAGGGCCTTCGGTACGTATGTTGTTGATGTTGTTGTTGTTGTTGAATTTTGCTCTTTTTTGCTGCTGCCGGTATTTTTTGCGGTGCTGGTGGCGACGGGGATGTAATGATGGTGGTGTGACCACGTCGACGTATATGACAGTGCCCCCGCCCCTTCCCCATTATCTGCTGTCCTTTGGCGATCAGAGCAACGGTGCAATCGTCGTCATCGTCAGGCTCTAGGGTGGCCATGGAATTGCCCACCTTCATGGCTTCGGAGCTGGAGAAAGGCGGTTCGAAGGTGACCTGCACTGCTATAGCGGCTTACTTACAGCTCTCTCGTCCTCTCTTTTGTTTTGATCTTGAAGGTCTTGGATTTTTTTTTTTTGCTCTGTGGCTGTTGTCCAAGATGAGGCTTCGGGCAGTTCTTTCCCTCGTAACCCGTTGCAGAGAAATGGAGGAATCAATGTGAAACCTAGATTCCGGTCAGGGATAGCGTAACGGACAGGGATAGCGCTTGAGGCATCCGCGTTTGAGGCATCCGTGTCGTGTCAGCTCTTGAAAGCAACATTCCGGGGTACTCCTTTCACACCATCGAGCCGTGTACGGCAAACATGTTGTTCTGTAGCGTGCGCCTTTTCGCCCACCCAAGACTGTTCCTGCCCCCACCCCCCTTTTGGGCGGAATTTTCCAGGGATGTTCACGGTGTGGAACCGCACCGCGGTGCGTTTTTTTTTTTGACACGATCACGGTGCGGTGCGGTGCGTTTTTGTTCAACTCGAATTGTGACGGTGCGGTGCGGTGTGTTTTTTTTCATCTGGAATGAACCCGCACCGCACCGCACCGTCGAAAAAAAACGCACCGTGAACATCCCTGGAATTTTCCCTCGCTTGGCGGCAGCGGTATGCATGCTTGAGAATAAATCTGTGGAAACACACGAAGAGAATACTCCAAGTTTGTTCCGACCCGACCCACGCATGTTCCAAATGGATACCCCCATTCCTCCTCCCCGCCTCACGCACCCCCCCCCCACACACATGATTTTGGGTTCGTTCGGTAGACGTTATCATCGTCCGGGTTGGGCGGGCTAGGCGGGGAGCAGGCGAAGATCCACGACATCAAGGCGGCACAAGCGAGAAGCGCCTTGGACCACGAGCAGTTTTTCAAGGGGCTTGAGGAGGCGGCCGACGGCTTTGGCCAGGTTGCCTCGTACTTCGGCAAGGGCGTCATGTCCATGTCTTGAAAGAGTCTTTCTTGATCCTGTCATGTCAAGTCTCCTTGATACTTTCATGTCCATGTCTTGAAAGAGTCTTTCTTAATACTGCTGTCGTGTCCATGTCTTGAAAGAGCCTTTCTTGATACTCTCATGTCCAGTCTTGATGTCCATGCCTTGAAAGAGTCTTTCTTGATACCATCATGTCGAGTCTTCTTGATACTTTCGTGTGCATGCCTTGAAAGAGTCTTTCTTGATACTGTCATGTCGAGTCTTCTTGATACTTTCATGTCCATGTCTTGAAAGAGCCTTGATACTGTGCTGTAACATCTTGTCTTGAGGCCCTGTTAGTTTTTCGGTGGTGACGTAGAGTTGCTTGTTAGGAGCAGACCCATCTATCGTGACACGCTTTTTTCTCGTTCCTGTGAGATTAGACTGGTTGTCGGGATATCGCCGTTCGTTGCCGAGACCACCAAGCAAGGTGGTGATGGGGGGGGGGGAGGGGGG